TCCCAGTGAAGGTGCTTCACACCAGCCCTTTTTTGCTACCCGCGATCCTGCAGGTAAGGTGCGGTGTCCTGCATGATGGTGCGACTATGCAACAAATTGAAACATGGCATACCCTAAACCTTAAACCCTAACCCTTTTGCAACTTCCTTGCAACGTCACGCCAGGACAGCTGACTCGTTCCCTTTTGCAACAGGCTTCGTACTTCGAGCTGACTCGTTCCCTAAACCCTAAACCCTGCTCGGGCCGCCGGACCAGCGATCAACGATTTACACTCGAGTGCCCTGTACAAAGACCGGTGGAGACGCGTGAACTCACTGACGGAGTGCTCCATTTGGGCTTTTTTTGCCTAGGGTTTAGGTTAAACGAAAGGCTCCAGGGCAGGCTCAGAATGATAAGAGTTCGTCTGTGCCCAAACCCATTATTTTGAGGGTTATGGCTTTGCATAATTACCCAATCTTTGTGAACTCGGGGGCTCTTCGTTCATGGGCGACTACCAGGACATGTGCATCCAACTCGTCTTGGACTCGACTTGTAGCAGTCTTGCTTGCGGAAAAGCAGCCACTAGGAGAATGATGGCGTTCGTCACGTTAATCTCAGAAAGCACAGGGGACGCTACACTCCGGCTGGGTCATGCATAGGGATATGGGTCGGGAGAAGGATGTCGGCATTAATTGGCAGCTCCACTCATGGCAATATCGGGGCCTAAAGGTGTTTCTGACTAGCCGCACGGAAACATACTTTCGATGCCCATAATACTCAATGGAGCACCGGCTGAATGTGCGATCTCAAGTTTTGAATGCCGTACCTCGCAAAGCCCTACAGAAATCTGGTCAGCTACAATGGGAAGGCACCACATGCGGCCTGGCCTAGGGCTTCTGCTCTCACACTCGGACACTCGGACTCGCCAGATGAGGTTCACGGCTCGCGGTCGTCAACTAAACAGAACGGACAGCAACGCAGCTTAGGTGTAAGAGTGAGCTCGAGTTTCTCAGCCTTTCTGCGCAGCCGCTTGTCATCTGGGCCATCGATTCCACAAGCCCCTGCATCTTCAATTCCTGCATCCCGACCGCAGAAGTTCTGATCGATCACAACGCCCCCAGCCCAAAAAATCCAAGACCTTCTTTGCGAGGCCCTCCAGAGAATCCGGGGTCCCAGCCAAGTAGTGGGCCTTGGATGACATGTTTCGTTTATGCCTTCACGGCTTGCAGGCCGTGATGGCCTCGGGTCTAATAAGATCATAATGAATAGCCTCTGTGGGCAGGGAGACGACCTGGGGCTTGGAGGATTCATCGGCGCATCGAAAACAACTGGATTTTGGGTTTGATGTTCTGCTATAACCTTCATCATAGGGAGAGGGACACTACGCAAAGGCAATCCAAACCTTGAAGCGCTTGCAGCCTTCCAGTGGTGGTGGCGGTGGCGGTGGCGTGGTGGTGGTGGTGGTGGTGGTGGTGGTGGTGGTGGTGGTGGTGATTGTGGTGGTGGTGGTGGTGGTGATTGTGGTTGTGTTCGTGGTCGTGGTGGTGGTAGCGGTGGCGCTACTCCCCTTTTTCATTTGCATTCACTCTGGCTCTTGGTCGAGTTCTAGTATGCAGAAGATAGTCGTTGCAGTTGCTTCGGTCAACCCATGTCCAACACATGTTTTCTGCATTGCCATACATATGTATATATTTACATGTGTGTGTATGTAAACGATATATACACATGCATACATACACATACATACACATATGTATGTGTGTATATATACATACATACAGATATATACAGATATATATAGATAGATATTATATGGTCAGGCGCTCCGCGGCCCCCCCCCCCCTCCCCTGCCATGGTCCATAGTCCAGGATTCGTGGGGTCCCTCTTCCCCCTTTGGTGTGGTTTTTAACTTTAAAAGATATAAGGCTTCCGAGTCGACAAGAGCTTAGGGAGGGTTTGGGGTGTAGGTTGGTTGGGGTGACGGTTTATGTTCTGCTTCAAGCTTGGAGCCTGCATATAGGCGGGGTTTAGTTTTTAGGGTTGAGTGTAAGGTTTAAAGTAGTTAGTACAGGTTAAGGCTAATAAAAACGGAGCACACCATACAGTACGTTGTAGGGGTGTATATGGCTTGCGTAAGATCCCCGCCCTCTCTGTGACCCCTGGCCGCCCCCCAGCAGC